ACAGCCCCTAATTCCTGAGGACTCCAGCCCTGCAGCAATCCATGCTGCCGAGGGACTCCAGCCCTACCCCGCCCTGCTATAGGCTGCTACAGGCTGCCGTGGATCTCTGGCTCTGGTCTCATGTTGCCCCCAGCCAGGCTGCCAACCCTGTTTCCCCAGCTCCGGCTGGTCCTCCTGTCCTTTGTCTCTTAGCTCTCTGGTCCAGGAGAATCTGTTGTCCTGCTGGAGGACAGATGTTGCCAGACCAAATAAAGTTGTTTTTTGAAGGTACAACCTGTACTCCCTCAAACAACGCACTCAGAGGCCAAAAGTGGAAACTCAGTTGCAACATCCAGATATTCAGCATCTTACCTCACAAGTATGCTTCTTCTGAATATGTGAAAAGAGCTCCCAAATAGATAACCAAGCGTTCATCTGCACAGCAGCGTTAATTTGGAATAACTTACATTATTTTGAAATAACAAAGAGCGAGTCTACACAGTGAGACATTATTTCAAAATAATGTCAAGACGGGCAACTTCTTACTCCAACTCCTGTAACCCTCATTTCACAAGGAGTAAGGGAAGTCGAAGGAAAAGTGTTGTTCCTTCGACTTTCTGCTGTGTAGACAGCCACCAAAAGCCAAGTTAAGCTCTTTCGACTTCAGCTACACAATTGACATATCTGAAATTGCGTCGCTTAATTTGACTTTTGCCCTGCTGTGTAGACGTGTCCTTAGGGTTCAAAACCTTTGAGAAGCTGGGCACCTTTGACTGCTTCCATTTCATGGGAGCTCAGTACCTCGAAGGATCAGATCCTTCATGACCTGTATGGCTTTCCTATATGAATGTACACATATTACGACCTGCAAACTGTGTAATGGATCTCATGGGAAGAGAAATGAAATAACAAAGAAGAATAAAAGACAAACGCTTGGGGACAAATACAGATGAACTGCCAGAGGGATGGGTAAATTACATGTCCTTGTGCCTGCCAAGCCACATTCACCCCAGAGGTAATTCATCTGTGAGGTGAGGATGCTATTACTATGTTAAATTTACCAGGAGTAAAAGCAGCTTTCATTTGCACCAAGGCTCCATAGGAACTCTGCCAGCAGGAGGAATTCCAAAAACATATTTCTTATTGCTCTGACCACTCCATCTGTCAAACAGCACTGTCCTTTGTACAGAGAGCACTGATCCCTTATGCCCTTCCACTAGCATAAACAAATCTGCTTTGCAGTGTCATCAACCACTACATTTTGGCTACAAGGTACTTATGCATAGGTTTATGCTGACAAAATGCAACATAAACCCTACATGCATGCAGCTTTCTCCCTTCTTGCACACAAGCAGCTTTGGCTTCTCTTTATTCTTTGTAGATTTTATAAACACAATTTATTTTGCAAAGTTAGAGAGAGATAATGTTTATGATTGGGAGAGTGTGGTTAGGCAGGAAAGGAAAGATTATCAGACACATTAATATACTGAGTAGAAATGTTTGTTTAGCCCTGATGATATATTATACCAATAATGCACCAGTCTTGAAGGATTTAAAAAGGTAATATATTGGGTGTGGGGAGGGATTATTTAATGCGTTTACATTTCAAGGACTTCTTTTTCAAGTAGAAATTTAGAGGCTTTTCTCAATTGCCATAGGTTATAAAACACATGTAAATTTACTTTTATTCTTAAAGACACTTTATAAGAAAAAAACCAGTGGAAGGAATGTCAGCATATTCTCCAGTGCCAACCTTCTCTGATATGGAAAGTCTGAATAAATCTACGCCTCCCTTTGCAAAGGGAAATTCCTTTGTACTATTAAATTCCACCCATCTTTTCCATTTCAGTCCCTAGCACTGAATGTGCTCCCAGAATTTTAACAAGACACTTATTGAAAAATTGCAACCTTTGTCAGTAATACCTGTGCCATTATCTAGGTCCCCTACCACCACCTTCCAAAAAAACCAACCTATCTGTTTCTATGTCTTCTGCTTCTAGCCACACTTCCCCTCCTTTCCCTTCTTTTTTGCTTCATAATTTCATGCTCTCCTTCCTTACCTATCCTGACCTAAAATACAATTATTATGTAAGTACAAATATAATAAAAATATCCATGCCCCTAAAATTCACCTAAAAATTAACTTGGTCTTGCGTTTTTAACCCATGGGGCATGGACTGTCTCTTACACTAGCTTTGTACAGTGCCTCATGCTATGGAAACCCAAATATGGTCACAGGGCTGGTAACAGACTGTACCAGGCCTGGGCAATCTAAGAGGTGAAGCCTTGAGTGAAAGGGGCAGGGTTAGGGCAGCCAGCCTTCAGAACCATCCAGACCATGCCCTTCGGGGCTCTCATGCAATTTAAAGGACCCAGAGCCTCAGGCCCTTATAAAATAACCAGGTACTGGGGCAACTACCCCTTCTTGGCTTCCCTGTTGGTGGCCCTGTGTAGTTGGGCCCCTGAGCACTACTGGAATACAATACACACACAAAGTCGCATCATCTCATAGCCTTTGATGGTTGAGTCATGGTTGGTTGCACAAGAAGCAGGATGACTAGTTGGTAGACTGTATAATCACTTAGGGAATGGGTCTTCTCTGAGACATTATGCATTTAAAGCTTCTTTGACTGCTGCTGGTATCCCCTAAATATAGAATCGTGGGCAGGTGACTCACCTCAGCTGGTCAGGTGGGAAAACAGGACTAAGGCTGCAAGTGGCCTGTAGCCGTTATAATGATTAAAAATGCATAGTGGTGTGGGGTTTTTGTTTTTGTTTTGTTTTTTTCTATAAACAACCATCTTCTGCATTTTCTGGTGTTGACCCTTTGGTCAAATAGGAGCCATTCTACCTTGACATAATTACCAGGAGGAATGCAAATGTTTGGAAGGAGCCATGATGAAGGGAGAAAAGTACCACCAATTCATGTTGAATAGAAGAGATTCTGGGCTGAGGTTGATAACAAGAAGGAAGAGAAGAATGAAAGGTGGATCCAAGGGTGGGCTGGGTGTGAAGAGGGCTGCCTACTGAAATGCTAGCTTTAGGTCCACAGACTGAGTCTGGCTAATCGGTCTCCAAAATTCATACATCATTGCTAACCTCGGGCCCAATCTTGTAATTTCTATCCTAATCCCACTGAAAATGGCAATAAGTATACGTACAGGATTAACTCTGTGCAGGATTGTGTCCCTTGTTTGGATACTCTTTGTTGTGACTTTAATCTTGGCCACTTACAGTAGCATAGTGACCTAAATTTCAAGAGATAGCTGAAATATATTCATACCAATGTCACACACAGTTTGAAAATAACAGTTGTTGATTTATATTCGATACATTCAATTTTTTTTTTAAATCTTTCAACCAAACATCTTTCAGATGGTTTACTGCATGTACATGTATTGGAAAAATAATCCACATCTGGTAGTAGACTTGGTTGTTTTGCTGATTTTCAGAAAGCCTCTTTCAGAAAGTCTCCCTGATTTCATTCAGAATCAATATATAGCAACAGTTTACATTTACATAGTGTCTTTCATCTCTAATGCTCCCAAGAGTGCTTTACTAACTAGTCAAACTGTTCAAAACATAACCTGCCTTTAAGATGGAGAGAAACAACTGCTCAATCCATGATACAACAGTGAGACTATTAACCTGATTCTTTCCTATGTTTATCTACAAGAATCACTAATCTGACACAAAGATCACCCATCTTTCCACTCTGTTCTATTTTCTGTCTTCTACTGTACAGCAGCAATACATGCATTTTTCATAGGACATAAATAGTGAACATATTTCTAACCTTGTTGTTATTATCTCCCCTCTCTGCACTACCCTTAGTTTGTGTTAGTTTTCTTTTCTTATTTATACTTCTGGCTAATTTACAGTCCCAAGAGATTTCCGTATCATGCCAACATTGACTTTGCAAATCAATGTACCATACATAAAGCTGGCTAAGAAATTATCTTCCTCTACATAAATTCCAACCTTTTTTTCCATTTTGCTCAATTTTTTCTTCGGGTTTTATTTTAGTTTTGAGTTTTTTTGGCAACTGAAAAGTAACAAAGAGATAAATTGTTTTCAGCTTTTGAGTCTTCACTTAAAAATACCTAAAAAATGCTGCTGAAAATAGATTTTGTGTGTGTTTATATGTGTATGTGCATGGGAGAAAGAGAGAGAGAATCTCCATAAGGTTATTTTCCATTAACCTTATTAATGGTAATTTTGTGGCTAACTCTAACCTCGTGATACTACTATCAAATCCAAATACTGCTACAGTTTGTTCCCTGATGCACTTTTGGTCTGTGCTTTTGGAAATACACCCAGAAAACTAGCAATGATTCTAACAAACTTCTCATTCATGATCTTTTTATTAATCTATAGTTATTCCAATGTACATATCTTAATATGATGTATGTTAGAAATATAGCCTTGTTAATACGTTACCTTCCATTCATTTTTTCATTTTTTTCTGCTTTAGCATACTTTTATGATATGTTAGATGTTCAACTTGCTGCTCTCTGTTTTAATCATACAGTGAACTCTTTCATTTAACCATATAGTTTTTTCCCCACCTTTAATTAATAAAAGGGAATCATACACTATACCCATAAAATAATTTATCTACATACACCCTCTCAATCTCTTTTCTTATGTGGTTTCACACAGTGGTTATATTATATGTCCTTCTACATAATGGTTACTTAATCATAAAGGGCTCATTGACATCCATAGAATGACTCCCATTGACTTCAATAGATTTGGATCATGTCCAAAGTGCTACTGAGCTCAGAACCTGTTTTTAAGATCCCATCTGTAACACTGGACATCACTAAATTCACTAAATTCATCTCTCACAAGCACAAAGGTCTGAGAAAACATTAAAAGGATTTTGGTAGGTTCCCAGGAGTGTAGATATTTAAAATTTGAGGCTGGGACAACAACACTGACTCTGTTGGAAAGACAGACAAAAAAGTAAGTTGTTCAGAGCAAATGCATTGGTTACGTCACAACTTATTTTCACTCACCAAAGACAGAGATCTCTCTGGAGGTCCACATTTCACATAGGTGCTCAGTGGAGTGCTGGCTCTGCTGCTGATGCTAATGGTCTCTTTCGGTTCTTGGTGCTCTTGGACTGGTTCATACAAGCTGTCCATGGAGCCTTCCTGAAATAAAGAAATGCACATATCATTAGCTGTACATTTATAAACGTGCAGAAAGAAAAAAGAAAGCCAGAACCTTCTAGGATGGACACAATAAAGTGAAAGCACAGTGCTCCTCCAGAGTGAAAACCATCTTTCAAAACTTCCATGGCCTTCCTTTGCATATATAATCAAATTAAAAATAAATTATATCTAGATGCTTGAACTTGCTTCCCAAATCATGATTCCGAGGAAGGTAAATACTAGAAGGATAGAGGGAAGGGAATTCTGACATAAGCCTTTTCTGAAGAAGGCTAAGAGCGTCCCTTGAAGGGAAAGAAACCGTATTGCCAACTCCAAGCATTCAACATAAGAATGACCATACTGGTTTAGACCAATATTCTGACAATGGCCCATGTCAGGTTCCCCAGAGAGAATGAACAGAAGAGGGAATCATCAAGTGATCCATTCCCAGCTTTTGAAAAACAAAGGCGAAGGACACTGTTCCTGCCCATTCTGGCAAAGAGTCATTGATGGACCCATTCTCCATGAATTTATCTAGCTCTTTTTTGAACTTTCAACAGTAAGTTAAACGCTAACAAAACAAAAACAGTATGCATCTGTCCTCGCAGCTCTTTACATCTATGCAGGCCCAAAAGGCAAGTCTTCTTCTTCAATAGTCCAGCTGAAAGATTTCCCAGTGTACTCCAAGCAAGACTGCTAGCTGTGTCTCAAGTGCATGTTATGGTTCTAAATATAAAAATATATATATTGTTGCAAACGGCTCTGCACTTCATTGAAAAGAAAATTAAAGTCTTCAACTATAAACGTGATAGAAAGGATTACTAACCAAGTGAGTTATAAGATCAAGAACACATATTCCTGCGCATCCAGAAATATAATCTACGCTATCATGTGCCGAAAGTGTCCGTCTGCTATGTACATTGGACAAACATCTCAGACACTTCGCCAAAGGATTAATGCCCACAAAACAGATATCAGACAAGATCACAAAGAGAAAACAGTTTCTTGCCACTTTAACCAGAAAGGACACTCTCTAAATGACTTAGCCACCTGCATTCTGCTACAAAGACCTTTTACATCTGCACTTGAAAGGGAATCCTCTGAACTGTCATTCATGTTAAAATTCGACACTTACCACCAGGGACTTAACAAGTCTTTGAACTTTCTCACCCATTATCAAGACAGTTTCCCCAATTATCACCTGTAATACCATTAACTCACAAACATCCCACTCTCCCTACCTCTAATATCATCAATTCACAGACACTTACCTTCCTTCCTCCCCCTTCCCACCCCCCCGCCTCCTCCTTCTGTTCTGCAATGTGATTTGTCCTTTTCATATTTGTTCTTTTTTTTAATTGTATCCTTTGGTATATATGGTTGTGACTACTTTCTTCCACTATTTGATCTGAGGAAGTGGGTCTGGCCCACGAAAGCTCATCATCTAATAAACCATCTTGTTAGTCTTTAAAGTGCTACATTGTCCTGCATTTTGCTTCAACTATAAACGTATTTGTCTTAAAATTTGCACTTGACTTCCTTATGGAAACAACTTCTTTTTCACTTTTTTCAGCAATTAAAAAGGACCTATGACTCTTGTAAGTTCAGTGTTTTGAGGAGTGTAGTACATTCATTGTTCTTGTTCACTGGTGCACAGACTTCCAAGCTTAGGCTGGGACTCAGGGACACCTTTCAGGGTCCTATAGCCCAGGCTCCAGCCCAAGCCCATAAGTCTACACAGCAATGGAATAGGCCTATGGGTTTCTAGTTGCTGTATTGTAGGGGTTCACAAACTGGGTGTGTCACAAAGTTATGACGTGGGTGGCCTCCACCTCCAAGTATTTATAATGGTGGTAAATAAAAAAATGTGTTTTTAATATATAAATGTGGTGTCACAGTCATAGTTTGCTGTGTGAAAGGGGTCATCAATATAAAAGTCTGAGAACCACTGCTATATAGACTTATCCACAGAGCTCTTCTTCTGATCTGGGAAAGTACTCCCAGCATCACGACAAAATTCAAGGTGGAAGAGATTGTTTAGCATAAGCAGATAGGGCATATTATAAGGGACCATTCAAGGTAGAGTGACCTGTTAACATTTCTTCAGTCATAGGACAAAAAAAAAGGGGGGCTAGTTGGTTACAGATTGTTATAATAAAGCTATATATCCAGTATCTCCATTCGGGCCATGACTGTTAGTATCTAGCAGAGTAATGAACGTAAGGTTTCATTTTGCTATGACACAGAGTACCGTCCCTTTGTAGTTGGAAAGCTTGTCTCTCTCACCAACAGAAATTGGTCCAATGGAGGATATTGGATCTCCATGGCAATTGTGGCCTGTTGTGGTCTATAGCAGTAGTTATTATGGAGACCTCTTCCAGGAAAGGAAGTGAGATGTGGAGCACATTGAAGATGATCTTTGTTTTTTCATGGAGCTGTATTCAATCCTGCTGCCTCCTCAGCACTACAGCCATAGTGAAATGTTATATTTCACAGTCAAAATTATGTATAGCTATAGCCATGGTCAGACTTGGGGAACTTTCTGAAAAACACATGCTGCCTCACAGCGCATTGATACCACTTTAAAAATGGATACACCGGATTATCCCCTACAGTTTTCATAGGGCCTAGTTTCTGTCACCCTTACTCATGCTGAGTAAAAATTTACTCCATGAATTGTCCCGCTGATTTCAGTTGACCAGTATTAGGGAATTAATTTGGATATTATCATACCACAACATTTGTTCTTCTGGCACAAAAGGAAGGTTCAGGACCCACCTAAGATGTGGTTGATGTGAGCAACCACCCTGGCGCACTGTGATCAAGAAGGTGCTTCATCAAGACAGTGTCACAATAACAGCCCACTGCCTGGCTCTGCCCCTTCTCCCCTCCCTCCCAGTCTTGTTCTCCTTACAGGCACATTCCGCCTCCAGCTCCAAGGCTGCCACCTCTGTTCCTCCTTCCATTCTGCTCCATCCCAGCCAAGCTCCGCCTACAAACCTGTTCCTCCTCCAGTTTCACTCAGGGTGCCATTTTAGGTAAGACTGACCCTGGGAAGGTTATGTGAAGCCATAGTGCTAACATTTCAAAGCTTTACAGATTGGAATTAGAAAACATACTGGCTGCATCTAGACTGGCATGATTTTGCAGAAATACTTTTAACGGAAAAGTTTTTCCGTTAAAAGTATTTCCGCAAAAGAGCATCTAGATTGGCAAGGATGCTTTTGCGCAAAAGCATCCATGCCAATCTAGACACGCTTTTGTGCAAGAAAGCTCCGATGGCCATTTTAGCCATTGGGCTTTCTTGCGCAAAAAATTAATGTGCCTGTCTACACTGGCCCTCTTGCGCAAGTATTCTTGTGCAAGAGGGCTTATCCCTGAGCAGGAGCATGAAAGTATTTGTGCAAGGAGCACTGATTTTGTACATTACAAAGTCAGTGCTCTTGCACAAATTCAAGCGGCCAGTGTAGACAGCTGGCAAGTTCTTGCCAGTCTAGACGCACCACTGAGTTTTAGATAAAATCTGTCTGGGATTTGAAAAACAATTGTGTTGGCTGGTAATACAGTAGTTGAAGCCACATCAATAATTCTTTGCATCCACATATGTCAGAAGTACTGTGCTTATTTTCTGAATATTAATAGCCTCATGCCAAAACATAGTTGAAAAGCAAAGCTAAAATTTAAGAGAGTATCATTTGAAGGTTTTAATAGTGATAGAAATGTAGCCGTGTTAGTCTGGGGTAGTTGAAGCAAAATGCAGGACAATGTAGCAGTTTAAAGACTAACAAGATGGTTTATTAGATGATGAACTTTCGTGGGCCAGACCCACTTCCTCAGGAAGTGGTGTCTGGCCCACGAAAGCTCATCATCTAATAAACCATCTTGTTAGTCTTTAAAGTGCTACATTGTCCTGCATTTTGCTTGAAGGTTTTAAAATTTGGTTATCCTTAGGTTTTACACAGTATTTTATTCCAGGAACTAATGAGTTAATAAATTATGGGAATGTAGCACATGGCTTAAGTAGAACAACATGTGCTAACTATGTTCCTAAAAGCTAGTAGTGGGCTTAAAGGGCAAATGAGTTCATCTGAGCTTGTCCCTTGCTAGCATTAGAATTGTTTTGTTTGTATAACAGGGATGGATTTTCTAAGCAGGAGGATTGCTACAAATAGCTGAGTGCACACGGTTAGATTGCAATACAGGTTTTTTTTTAAAGTCTACATTAAAAGGAAAATTAACTCTTCTGAGGCTAAGAAAATCGGATTCAGGAATACCCAGCAATCACTCACACTCACCTTGTATTAAAATACATTATTTTAAAAATTGTCTATTTCTGAAAGAAACCATTTTTCCTCTCTAAACCACAGTAATTATAAAAGAGCTGCAATTTTGTGGTTAAAACAACTGACATGCTCCAAACTGCCCATAGAATAAGGAGCCTGCCAGGCATACAAGGTAGCTATGACTAGGATGTGAGAAACCTTGAGAACACACAAGGTGAGAAAAAAACACGCAAAAATTCTATTTGCTCACATCCCCAGTCCTATGTAGAAACACTTCATGATGTGTGCATTATAAGGATGTGTGTAATTTCTTTTTCAATAATCTACAGCAGGAAGTGAGGGGGAGGGAAAGGGGAAGAGGTTAGGCAGAAGCTCTGTAGTGAAACAGACAAAGGCTGAGTAGCTTTAGGGATAATACTGTTTTCCTTAGTCTAGGTGACTGTTCGGCCAGGTGTCATTAGCAGGACTAAGGGCCAGGTTCAATGTTATATAGAAATGCTTCTTAAAATAGTGATTGGATCAAGCCCCCACCTAAACCTTATCAACTCGTAGGGTAAATTTTAATCCCCCAGGTTCCTTTTGGAAGTGGTTCTTCCCACTCCAAAGCACCAACACAGCCTTGAGTGCATGAAGCCACCAATTGTTTTTATTTGGGAAAACAAAATAAGCCCCTATTTACATGGTAGAAAGAAATTACAAGGAGCTTGGCTAATACCATGGCTTTTGTTACATGGCTTCTTGGGGGCTCAGAGCTCTAATTCAGATCATATGCTTCACCCACATTCAAATCCATATCGACTCAAATGGGAATCAGGAGGCAGCTTTCCCCACTGCCTACTCCAGTCAAAAGAAGTCCATAGCACCAAGCCCCACTTCGATCTGGAGCTTCCAGGTCTGGTTCCAAAAAGGCATCTCCACCAGGATCTTTTATGCTATGTCCTGGTTCAGCAAAATCAGTTCCATCCGTTCTATGGCAGACCTATCTGGATCCACAGTATCAGCTTCACCAGCTCAGCTGCTAATAATCCAGTCCCACAAAATCACTTCCAAACAGGGTCTAGGCAGGTAAATCCAAGTAAGGCCCTACTTGTTTTCTTGAATTTGAGTTGACAACCCAATTAGAGTCTGTGCCTGTCAGTTCAGAGTGATCTGCTTCTTCAAGCTTTCAGTTCCCCCCTCCCCTTTCATAAATACATTTACATGCACCATTTAGTATTACTTCCAAAACACAGAACATAAGCATTCTCCAAGTAACATAAAACTTTGTGCAGAGCTCCATTGGGGAGAAATTCTTATATGTGCATTAACTGCCATATCCAGCATTTCTCCTTTCTCCTGTGAGGGAGCAGAGAACTTATCCCAGCTGTCTATTTCTGGGGTTTACATAAAAAAGTTCCCTTATTTGGTATCAGAAGTGGCATTTTTCTGTTATACTCTACTTGTCACATAACATACATCACCACAGTACGTGTGTATTGTTTTTTTTAAAAAAAGTCTTATCATATGGAATGTATGTATCTTATAAATGTCTGAAATTCTTTCCTGTCTTGCTGGGTGTTTCGTGTACTAAAGATTCTGTACTTGTCGTACCTGGACATGATGGTTTTCTGCATTCTAACAAGCCACATTTCAGAGAAGTAGCTGTGTTAGTCTGTTTCAGCAAAAACCACAAGGAGTCCAGATAAAAAGAGAAGAAAAAAAATCGCGGAGAAAAGGATACTAAGATGAGAGTGTGACATCAGTGCTGATTAAATCAAAGTGGATCCATAAATGAAAGGAGATTTTAGAAGCACGTAATTTGGAAACTTTGTTCACAGATGATTCCTTTGAAGTAAACTCTTTTGCTTTGGAAGTCTGATAGGTTCTCCAGTTTCAGCTGGGAGCAATTGTATAAAATTAAGAAAGATTAATTTTTCCTAACAGAGGGATCTATAAGTAGCCTTGCACATGAATTAGTGCAAGCCCCATTGCTTCTGTCATTTAAAGCTGTACTGGACAAATCTTCTGAGTATATATTACAGGAAACAATTCAACCCTGACTGAAGGATAGACACAACCACCTGACTTGTAACTATTCCATCTCCATTTTGTAGATTGTGATTTATTAGTTGAGCTACCAAATTAATTTTTCTGACATCAGAGCTTCCTCCCTATTGAAAGGGAAATAGTACCTCCTGTTACCTGGTAAAACCACAACTTCATGAGGCAAGGGAAGGCAGCTATTGACTGGAATAATTCCCATCAGCATTTAGATTGCCAGAAGCTTTACTATTTTGAGGGGTGGTAGTTAAACAAAGTTTTGGACATCACCATTCTGTGCAGCAACAGAAACTGTCAACCCTCAATTTTAATGCATTTTTGCTATTGTAGCACAAAAATCAAACCAACGGATATGAAAACAGAGGCCACCTTTGTTAAATGCTGAACAAATTATCCAGGATGACACATGTATGGTGCTAATGGAGTAAGATGCTTCTTCAGTTTTTAAAAATACCCCACCAAATCTATTCTTATTCAGACATTCCCCCCATGACTCATGAGAGAAAACCTGTCCCTTCCTTACATCTTAATGCCATTTGCTGCTGACCTTTTCTTTCTGCAATTGCCACAATGCCATATTCCATTTCAAAACAGTTGAACACCAGCATATAAGTGGCTAAGCAGACATATTTGTACCAATAACCCGCTTTCAAGACAGACAATCCTGTTTTAGAAAAGAATTGCATTTCATCAGGCAAGTAGGGATGAGTGCACATGGACCTGGTTTTTAATCAAGTAGCATATCTGGATTAGTGACCAATAAATTGTCTTAATACAGTTTTTGGTATGCTATAAGATGTGTTGCTAACTATTCAAAGGATTATCTTCGTGTTCAGATTGACTCATAAAGAGACCCTGAAAAGAATATAGGTTAACTTCTTAGAATCAAACTTAAACAAGATTAATTATTTCATAAAGAAACTATAGCAACACTGATTTTTACACATAAGAAGGTATGTTGTATTTTCTGTTAGAGTTACAATGAGAGCAGCACGAGTTGGGGAAGTCATTTTAATGAAAAAAATCTGGGACTCCTATTCTTTATTCACGTAGTGTACCCATTTATTTAGCAGAGTCCCTGTTATTTATTTGACACACAACTCGCAGTAGTCTTGTTTGTTAACAGCTGGATTGCATCAAATGCAAGCTACTGCTCTAATGTAACGATAAAATACTGATGTAACAGTGCTAGTTACAGTCCTACGTAATTCCACAAATCAAAGCTTCTCTGATGGTCAAACTGACTTTTTGCACATACATTTGGGTGTTAACTTTGACCAAAAGAAAAATAAACTGGGACCAAATTAAACTGGGACCAAAAGCATCACTGGATTCTGACAAAAGTATTACTGTTAATTGGAGGGGTCCAGAAAAACTCTAAAAATCTACTGCATCTTATTTTCAAGATCCAAAAAGCAGAAGTAAATCCTTAAAACTGGACAATGCTGGGTATTCTGCAGTGAAGTTGCTTTAACAAAAAGGAGCCATAATTTACTCAAGTGGAACCACTAATACGTGTGTGATAAGCACCAAATGCAGTTCATTTTTTTCTTTCTAGTCCTACACTAAAATATCTGGAAAAGAGAAGCAAGCAGGTGTAGTATACTATAAAAATACAGCAGATTTACACATTTTTCACTATTAATATGTAATCTGGGGGCTGGCAGGTAAACCATTGAAAAGAGATAGAGTCTTCATGGATTTTGCAAATCTGATTCTACCAGTTTACTCATACTGGTTACTCCTCAGGCAATAGAAAGGGGAAAAGGATTTAAGTCAACTTGGGTGTGTCTAGACTGGCAAGATTTTGCACAAAAGCAATCGCTTTTGTGCAAAAACTTGCCAGCTGTCTACACTGGCCACTTGAATTAGCGCAAGAGCACTAACTTTGTAATGTACAAAATCAGTGCTTCTTGCACAAATACTTTCACGCTCCCACTCAGGGATAAGCCCTCTTGAGCAAGAATACTTGTGCAAGAGGGCCAGTGTAGACAGGCACCTTAATTTTTTGTGCAAGAAAGCCCGATGGCTAAAATGGCCATCGGCGCTTTCTTGCGCAAAAGCGCGTCTATACCGGCACAGATGCTTTTGCACAAAAGCACTTTTTGCTCAAAAGCATCCATGCCAAGCTAGAAGCTCTTTTGCAGAAATACTTTTAATGGAGAAACTTTTCTGTTAAAAGTATTTCCGCAAAATCATGCCAGTCTAGACACAGCCCTTCTGTATCATTGAGTGAATACAACCATATGACTAGTTTAGTGCCTGAAATTGTGCACTGATAATGTTCTGCTAATGGGAAACACACTAGAAAAAGTTCTGTTGTACTTCATCAGCAAGAAAATATGGTTCTCAGTATCATTTTAGCATCAGGGAAATAGCAGAACAGAATTAATTTATTTCATAATTGAGATACAAATAGGGAACTTTTGAAGGTTTTTATTGTGTCAAACTTGCAACATTTAGCAGTTGAGTTTCTAAACTGCAAAGTTTCACAGATATCACAGGTATCATATAGTATGTCCTTAAAAGCCTCCAAGTGTCAGTTTTTATTTATTTTCAGTTTATTTTAATTAAATCATATGTCCCTATCTTCAGCTTTTTATACACACACGTCTCTTTTTTTTCCCTAAGTGGCCTTTTTGTATGATACATGCAATGTACAGGGCTCTACACAATAACTTTAATCTCTGTCCTCATTCTGGTCACGTGTTAGTTCAGTTTACAAAAGCAGTAATACAGTAATCAAATATACAAGAAGCAAGAAGACTTACCAATGAAAAACAGAAAAGATTCATTTTGATATGAAGCTCAACCCCAGCACTCCAAAATTCTGTTTCAAAGAATTCCAGACACACAATGTAGCTCCTTCTTGTCCTCCCAGCTGTTTGTACATTTCGCCCTGGAGATTACAGCAAGATAAAATCCCCTGCAATAATCCACTGGATTCAGAGCCCATTATCAAATGAGACAGGCTTGCTTGCACCAGCACACACAGTTTCCAAAATTAATGAATAATGTTTACCAACAAAACAAAAGCATGGCATGACTTATTATGATGGACTAGGAAAAAATAGTTTTTTGTAGGTTGTTATTACCATCTAGTTTATCATAATGGAAACAAAGCTTCTTCTGTCTAAAAAGCAGTGGAATATGCAAAGAACTTGAAGGTGAGCATGCTGGATTTACTTCACTCATTTGACAAGTATACAAGAGAGACAAGTTGGATGAGGTAATATGCAAAGAAGAGCTCTGTATAAACTCAACGGCTTGTCTCTTTCACTAACTGAAGTTGGTCCAGGAAAGGACCTTGTGTCTTTAATATCCGGAGACCAATATGGTTACCACGATGTTGCAAACAAGGTATGGAACAGGCATTTTACAAAAAAATATTTATTTTGTATATAGAAAAATGGTACAATAGACTTAACTACCATGGACTAGAGCATGACTTTTTTCAGCCAAAACTTGTTTAGGCCAAAAAATTCAGGCTTATGTTGACAAACATCTCACGTTGAGTTTCTGAAATTGTTTTGGTCTAAATAAAAATCAGGGGAAAACAGCCCTCAAATTGAAAAAGTTTGTTCTGAAATTTTCTAAACAAAATGTTTTTATTCAAAATGTCTTTTAATTTAGAATTTTACTTCAACTTTTATGCAAGTAGAAAAAAGTTAAACACACCAAAAATACAAAACTTTATTTTGGGTCAAATTAAGTGTTTTGTTCAACACAAAAGAATTTATTTTCTTCTGTTCTGCCATTGAATTGACGATTTACTGGCACATTGCAGTCCATATTTTAAAAACCAGTGTTTGAAACTGGATACTTAGATTCAGATTTAGGAGTCAAAATATATTAAAAAGTACCTATGTTTGGGAATCTACCTTTGAAATCTGGTCCATGCTTTATTCCCTTTTCAAATTGAATCTCTCAGAAAAAATCAATTTCTTACCTATCTACAAAGGAATAAGTTGCCTGCAGGAGTCCAATATGTCAACCATTTGATGATGAAGGCTAAAACGGAAATAATCAGTTTTGCTATTAGAAAATATTAGAAGTGAAGAAGTCAAAGAGGGCAGAGACAAGGACTCTGATTGTGGGTGGTGTAGGGAGATATCGGTGCTGTCCACTGTGACAGCGAATGGTGGGGAGGCGTGATATTACAGGAGAAAGACAATGGTCCATATAATCAACTGGTGTGAATTAATATAGCACCACTGACTCAAGAATTACCATAATAATAGCACATTTTTTACTGACCTGACGTTAAGAAAGAAAGAAAGAAAGAAAGAAAGAAAGAAAGAAAGAAAGAAAGAAAGAAAGAAAGAAAGAAAGAAAGAAACTAGCCCCAGTGTCTCTAAAACTGATTCCTTTTATGAACCACTTAAGATTACATCCTCTTATGGACCTTGTTCCCTCCCAACCTACTAGCCTTCATTCTATGTCTCCCCATTGACAGCTCTATTACTTGTTCACATGACCAAGCAATAGTCTGTCAGTATATTTTCCATGAATCACTGAAAACAAGCCAGCAATTAGGTAGCCCTGGATTCCCAAATGGAAGGTCAACACTCTCTCTGGGTGGCAAGTAGATCCAAGCCCAGCAATAGGAATTAAATGGACTGGCCGTGTAATTTGAATGCCTGAGATCCAACTTTCAAAACCAGTCTTATACTCTGACTTCAGCTCTGGCAAGTGTAAGCAGGGAGTGCAGATAAAATTCTCAGATACACTCCGAAACAAAATCTGTGCAGAACAAACATTTCTGACTCAATCTTTGAGCATCTGACAACTGATCATACTACATGGCCCCAACCCATAAGGATGGGTGGTCACAACTTTAACAAAAAGCTCATGGAACAACTGTGGAAATAAATTGCAGCTCACGCAACACAAACAGGCAAATAGCTTTGTGGCCAGTGCAGTAAATATTCATTTTCCCCATTTGATCTATGGAGTGCATCTATTAGTACAAGTTATTATGGTGGACACTGTCCTCAAAATCAAGGTGACCATATTGTATTGGAGCCTCACAAGAGGAAAAAGTGTAAATATCATAAATAAAGTTAATTGAATAAATTGTCTGCCCACATAACCATTGAAATCCAGAAAAACTGGCACTTTTTTATTGCCATTTTATTTTGTTTTGTAATATAGAGTGAAAACTGCTAACTTCCATCTTCAGGCCCATTTATATACTACCAGACAAAACTGATGTCTAGAGTGAAATATGGGTACAGGAGTCATTATCTTCCAGGAGCACCTTGAAAACAAGATGTCTAATCTCAATAATGTAAGTTTTCTGATTAAATAAATCCCTTATGCTCAGTAATTCTGTGCATTTATAGAAAAGATGCCAACCCCCCACCTTCTTTAAAACCTTAAAAAACATTTTAAAAGCTCAAGGAGACTTGAATCCTTACTACACAGAATTGATTTCTGTACTTTATGTCTCCCCATTGACAGCTCTATTACTTGTTCACATGACCAAGCAATAGTCTGTCAGTATATTTTCCATGAATCACTGAAAACAAGCCAGCAATTAGGTAGCCCTGGATTCCCAAATGGAAGGTCAACACTCTCTCTGGGTGGCAAGTAGATCCAAGCCCAGCAATAGGAATTAAATGGACTGGCCGTGTAATTTGAATGCCTGAGATCCAACTTTCAAAACCAGTCTTATACTCTGACTTCAGCTCTGGCAAGTGTAAGCAGGGAGTGCAGATAAAATTCTCAGATACACTCCGAAACAAAATCTGTGCAGAACAAACATTTCTGACTCAATCTTTGAGCATCTGACAACTGATCATACTACATGGCCCCAACCCATAAGGATGGGTGGTCACAACTTTAACAAAAAGCTCATGGAACAACTGTGGAAATAAATTGCAGCTCACGCAACACAAACAGGCAAATAGCTTTGTGGCCAGTGCAGTAAATATTCATTTTCCCCATTTGATCTATGGAGTGCATCTATTAGTACAAGTTATTATGGTGGACACTGTCCTCAAAATCAAGGTGACCATATTGTATTGGAGCCTCACAAGAGGAAAAAGTGTAAATATCATAAATAAAGTTAATTGAATAAATTGTCTGCCCACATAACCATTGAAATCCAGAAAAACTGGCACTTTTTTATTGCCATTTTATTTTGTTTTGTAATATAGAGTGAAAACTGCTAACTTCCATCTTCAGGCCCATTTATATACTACCAGACAAAACTGATGTCTAGAGTGAAATATGGGTACAGGAGTCATTATCTTCCAGGAGCACCTTGAAAACAAGATGTCTAATCTCAATAATGTAAGTTTTCTGATTAAATAAATCCCTTATGCTCAGTAATTCTGTGCATTTATAGAAAAGATGCCAACCCCCCACCTTCTTTAAAACCTTAAAAAACATTTTAAAAGCTCAAGGAGACTTGAATCCTTACTACACAGAATTGATTTCTGTACTTGCTATTTAGTATTCTTAATCACACATTCTTTATGTTATTGTTGAGTAATGGATTGGCAAATTCCAGAGAATTAACCTGCTTTGCAAACATTTGCCACACAAGCTTAAGGTTTGGATATGCCACCCCCATTCCCTTTTACTTTTGACTCCCCTCTCCCAATATTAAAACAATGGTCTTATTAAACAAACACAGATTGAGGCAGCTCTGAAAAATCAACACTGCCTTCTCTGCCAGCAGCCATGAAGGTCTCATGAAAGCATTGAAAAAAACCAACATAATTTTGAGTTTTGAAAGGCTTACTCAGATTTCCCAATTCACTTTGCAATAAAGCTTACATCTCCTTTTACATACAAGTAGCCACATTAAGGACTTGTTAGACTATCTCTTCATTTAAAGTCTGATTCAAAACTAATTGAAATCAACAGGAGTTGAATCAAGCGCATTGCTGGTTCAAAGTCATTACCCGCAAATCTAGTTTGAGATTTCTCTATCATTTATTAGAAATATGGCATATTTTTGAAGATTTGCATAATTTGAGGAGAAAGGGTTTTAAAAAAAATAACCTATGTCTGCCATCTTTTGTCAAGATTACCCTGTCTCACCCCAAGTGCTGACACTGGTGAAAATAAGATGCTAAGTTCACCTCTGCCCATTAAAGAGCACACCATTACACTCTTGGGGTCTGACTCTGCTCTTACATTTGTGTTAATCAGTAGTATCTATCAAAGCCAGTGAAGTCACACCAGTTAAATGAGAGTAGAGTCAGACCTTATATTTTGATTTGTGAACTCTTGGAGTTTTAATTTTCACATCAATTTTGTATGAGTCTTACAGTGTTTACTTTTGTAATCAAAAGGAAAGACATAGCTCTTCTGTACTAATTGTAAGTGTCTCATTAAAGTAGTGAGAGGGTTTTCTGTGGATAATTCACTTGACCTATTTTTCATATATGCTGTTATTCAAATATCCCCCAACCCTTACTTTCCTCTTTAATTTGTAGAGCAATTCATCCAAAAGAAACACCTACAAAAATCAAGATGTAGATGTAGAAAAAAAATCCTCAGCTGATGGAAATCAACACAGCTTCTTAATTAGGGATTAATTCTGATGTACATAATCTGAGAATGCAGTACTCCAGCTCCAATATTACAGCTTCTAAATATGATGGAAAAGTGAAAGTGTCTCCTTGGTCTTTTAGTACACATACTGTATCCTTAGGCCAAAACAGCTATAGATGATCTTCCTGTTGCCAATGTTCATGTTCTTTGCTCAAACTGATTCTAAGTTTGATTCCGAAATCTCTGAAACTGTGTTCCTGGCAAAGAAAATATACTGTCTTTAACCAGCCACTAGAGCGTAGTGGTAAACATACACACTAGTCAATATGTTCAAGTGCATGTCACTGCCACCTCCTATGGCCTGAAAGTTATATTTTCACTCTTGTAGGAGCTAAGGTCTCTAGTAAAGCATGATAAAGTATGCTGTATGTTATCACTAAATATGTTTAAAAACCAAATTCTGAAATATGGGTGCAAAATGAGGTATCTATAGTTAAGCATTTGGAATGGTGCAAAACCTGCTTTTCCAAGGGTGCTTGCCTGTCCTTTGGTGGGCGTACAAAATAATAGCGCTATTTGAAAACACTTATGCAGCACGTCC